GAGGATCTTTTTAGGGTTTCAGTTGGCGGAAAAAATTCTACCTTTCTCACAGTTTAGATCTATTTCTTTTAGTTTGTTCTGCATTGATTTGTTGGTGCTTTGAGGAAGATGGCTGTGATATTCGAGTGTTGATACCGTGCATGGATTGGTGAGAGGTGTCTTGACCTATAGATTGAAGTCCTGTGAACATGTTGGTGTGAGCAAGAAGACTAATGTGGAGTTTGGCACTTCTATTCATTGAGCGAATGGTCTTCTAGGTGGTGTTCACGTAGGCATTTGGGAACCTTCCAAGGATGCATCATTAGGAGGTAATAGGTATTTGGTATCCTATGTTGAAGACTGTTCTAGGCATTTGTAGGTTGCAACCAAGTCCCGTTAGAGTGAAGTCCTAATAGTCAACAACAGGTGAAAGAAGTTTATAGGCAGAAAGGTAATACTTCATTCTGATTTTGGTAGGCAGTTTGAGACACTTTATTGAAAAGAAAACATTGGGGCAACAAGATGAAATGGCAGATTTGATGAGTTGTTCCTTGTTGGAGGAGGATCGGTGTTTGATGTCGAGCAGTGGTTTGTAGAGGAGTTTTGGTGATGTGGCTTTAACATATTGGAGCCATCTTATTTATAGGTTGTCGTCTATTGCATTTGGAGTATTTGGATCTGGTGGAGCTGTTTCAGATTTTGGGTTGCTTTGGATATTTGGATGCTCAACATATTATCACATCGAGGATGTGAAGTTTGATCCAAGTGCACAATTGGGATTCAGAGGCATGTTTGATTACCAGGTATGGGACTCTGATATTGTTTTCAGTAGTATTCCTATATTTGACTCTCAGCAGGTGGAGAATGTTGGACAGATTATTGGGATATCACAGCAAGTGGAGAGTGATGCTACTCCACGTTGGGTGGAGATTACTTCACGTTCTCCAGATCATTCTGTATCGTTTAGGATTCCAGCTGAGGTGACACAGATTCAGAATCATGTTGATGTGGATGCAGATGATGATATTGAGGATCAGGATTCGAGTGCAGCTGGTGGACACAGTTTGGATTTGGCTATGGATGCTGGTTTACCTCAGGTGGAGGTGTTTGGTTCGTTTCACTTTGAGGCTAGTGGGTGAGTTATCAGCTGTAAATTTGTTGGTGATGATCGTGAAGGATTGATAATCCTTCTAGTTGATTGAGGGCCTTTGGAGGCCATTGGGTGAAATACGTGAGGTTTGATTCCTTGGGCAAGAGAATATGTAGGCAGTCAGTTATGATGTAGCCGGTTAGGTGAGTTGATACCGACATTTAGAGTTTGTTCGCATTCTCGTTTGGGTCTTGACTTGTTGAAGATTGAGTCCGTTGTCATGGATTTGTTCCACTTTGTACTGGACGCAACAAGTGGGACGTTTGATTGGTATTGGTGTCGGCTCAGTTTTGAAAACACTTCGCCGAGGTGGAGAATTGTTGGATAGCAGGTTCCTAATATGTTTTCTAATTTATTTTGGTAACTAAATATTAGGATTCCTAATCTGCTTTGGTAACAGGTTATTGGAATTCCTAATCTGTTTTGGTAACAAGTTATTAGGATTCCTAATCTATTTTGATTTTGGTTTTAGAATTCCTAGTATGTTTTTCGTTTTAGGATTTCTATATATATGAAATGTTTTAGAAGAGAAAATAAGTAAAGGGGAATTTGAGAGACTTCTGAGCTGTATGTTAGGGAGATTTGGTGAGAGATTTGAGAGCTTTGTTTGAGAGATTAATTTGTGAGGTTTTTGAGTGATTTTGTAATCTCTATTTGTACTCTCTCTAATAGTGAAAACTCATCCTCTTCTTGCCCCGTGGACGTAGGCAACTTGCCGAACCACGTAAAGTTGGTTTGTTTGTGTTTGTACCGTTATTTTTGATCTTGTGTGACATTCTCTTGGCGTTTGCGTGGATTTCCTCGAATCCCAGCAAGTGGTATCAGAGCACAACATAAAGTTCTTACATATATGAATTATTTTAAAATATATATCACTATATATGTTAAATATATATCTCTATATATGTTAACTATGGATCTATTTGGAAAACGGGCGCATATTCACATGTAGCAACATACATACAGACATACATTTCCAAGTATTAGTGTTATAGAAAAATTTGGTGCCATGACACATATAGGTTTGTGTCAAATCATAATAGGATAGTTGCCTTTTCATGGAATAAATGTTTTGAATGTTAACCTCATAGAGAGGTGTAACTGTTAACCTCGTAGAGTTGAAATTAGATGATCTCGAAGAGAATAACCTGAGCTTCCATTTCTTGTCGCATTTTGTCATAGCGCTTGGCAAGTAGTCGAGCATCCTCCAAACGAGCTCCAACTATCATTGATTTTAATGGCTCAGAAACCTTGAGATACGAGTATTAAAGATAGCATCAGTCAGTAAAAAACTTCTATAAGAAGCGTGAAATAAGATAATTTGAATTTTGAGAAAGCAAAAGGGACCAAATAACTGATGTGGCATGCTTCCACTTTCCGTACTTTTTATTAACTTCTCAATTTCTTAATAAGAAATAAAACAAAGTGGAGCCACATTCCAATTTTGTTCCTCTTTACATTAACTTCCGAGGGCCAAATCGTAATTTATGACTTTAAATGGCTTTTTGAATGTCCATGTCCACAAATCATTGTATCTTCTTATAGCTTTCCTAGATCTGGCATTCCTCAAACGAAGTTATCCAATACTTTTGGTGTAGAAACTTTAGATGCTCTAAGCGGAATTGCAGGAAACGTTTTCCTAACATCTAAACGAAGGATCTATTGCATAAATCAATTGGATTAAGAAAAAGGAAAAATGATTACCTCTTAATGCGTGTTCAAAGCCTTCTCTAATGGAGAGATTAAGAGTCTCACTTGAAAACTCCTCTAGTTGACCCACCCGAGCAAAGATCTGGATCCTTAGAAATCAACTGCTAGGTTGAAGATGAAAGGTTTTGGGAGAGAAAGTAGTAACACTTTCACGTATATAGAGAAAGTGGAATTGGATTGGATTTTCTAAAAGAAAAACCACTCTTATTTATAATCCACAAATTAAAGTCATATTTAATTCTATAATTAAATATAATCCACTAATTAAAGTCATATTTAATTCTATAATTAAATATTATCTTTTATAACATTTATAAATAAATTTATCCTTTATTTAACAATAACTCCTTATTATTAATAAACTCTATTTTGAAGTTATATCTTATATAACTTTATATTATATATTTTATATAATAATTCTCCCAATATATCCAGTCCATAAATTCTTAGGGTGTGACCTCGTAGGACCCAATTATAATAGCAATGAACTTTATAACATAAAGTCCATAAATCATAGTTGGCTTCTAGCAAAGCACTATGACTACCTAAAATAACCGGATTGTAAATCTCCATTAAATGTCACATCCATAAATTAGTAATTGCACATTCGATTAAAGGACACAATTCCTTCAATCTCCCACTTGTCCTTGAAACAAGTGTGCAATGTTAAAATTCCTTTGTCACTTAATGTCTTATTTGACTATATGATGAAACTCATCTTTATCGCCAAATATGTTTCTTGAACTCTTGAGATCGAACTGTCAGTACAAATGATTACTAATAATCCATCTGAGCATGGCCATGCGTTTTTCACAGTTCTCACTCTTCAAGTGGCCGAGACACCGTTCCTTTCCAAATGTATCATGGTATACATGGAATAGGAGGACATATTCAATCTTGTAAGACTATATCTCCCACTCAACTTTTGGCAATCCCAATCACTACTTTTATAACTGCCTGTTACGGTCAGCGTTTAGCAGCGTCAAAGACATACCAGCAGTCAAATGATGACTATATCATACTCATGTCTAAGGAACTCACTAATCATGAATAATCCTAGAACTCTGCAGAAAGAACCCGAAGAGTTCTATGATAGGTCTGTCTGATATGTATCACCATACATACCTATGTAATCGATTAGACATCTCCATGTCCCTATAACACATGAAACCCGGTGTTATCAATCAATCTCACAATATGGTCTTGAATTAAGTCATTTGTATCCTAGTTAATGACTCAGACCATGAACAACTAATAATTTTATAATATCAGTTCACTTAATGGGGTTTCATTTACCAAAACAGTTTTGATGAGCCCATTTGATAATTATTAAATTATTCGGATACTTTATCTAATCCCAAGCAGTGATTAAATAATAATATGATACTCATATATATAAATCAAGCATAAATGTCTGTAATAACGAAAATATTTCAAAATATTTCTCCAATGTGTCTGAGCCCTTTGGCCCGAGTGTGACTATCATGCTTGGGCCTAGGCAAGGGCTTGGTCAAAGGATCTGCAATGTTGTCGTCAGTGTGCACTTTGCACATCCTCACGTCTCCTCTATCAACATAGTGTCTGATCAAGTGGTACTTTCGTTGGACGTGTCTAGATCTGGAGCTAGAGCTAGGTTCCTTGGCTTGAGCAATGGCGCCATTGTTGTCACAATAGACGTCAATTGCTCTAGAAGTGCTAGGAACAACACCGAGCTCAGCTATTACCTGTCTAATCCATACCGCCTCCTTAGCTGCTTCACTAGCAGCAATGTACTCTGCTTCCGTTGTAGAATCTGCTATTGTCCCTTGCTTTGAGCTCTTCCAACTGACGGCTCCTCCATTCAGAATGAAGACATATCCAGACTGAGATTCAAAATCATCTTTATCTGTCTGGAAACTCGCATCAGTGTAGCCCTTGACGATCAGCTCGTCATCACCTCCATACACTAAGGCATTATCCTTAGTTCTTCTCAAGTACTTTAGAATGTTCTTGGTTGCACACCAATGTGCCTCTCCAGGGTTTGATTGGTATCTGCTGCACATACTCAAAGCGTGCGCAACATCTGGGCGAGTACAAGTCATAGCATACATGATGGATCCTATGGCTGAGGCATAGGGAATCCTACTCATTTTCTCAATTTCACCTGGTGTTTTAGGACACTGGCTTTTACTGAGACGTAAGCCATGTTGCATAGGAAGGAATCCTTTCTTAGAATTCACCATATTAAATCTAGCAAGGACCTTATCTATATAAGTTCCTTGACTTAGACCAATAAGCCTCTTAGACCTATCTCTATAGATCTTAATGCCTAATATGTACTCTGCCTCTCCTAGATCCTTCATTGAGAAATACTTCTTAAGCCATTCCTTGACTGTCTCCAGCATAGGAATATCATTTCCAATGAGTAATATGTCATCCACATATAGAACCAGGAAGGCCACTTTGCTCCCACTAAACTTCTTGTAAACACATGGCTCTTCTTCGCATCTGATGAAATCAAACTTTTTGACCACTTCATCAAAACGAAGATTCCAACTCCTGGATGCTTGCTTAAGTCCATAGATAGACTTCTTAAGCTTGCATACTTTCCTAGGATTCTCTGGATCCTCAAAACCTTCTGGTTGCATCATGTATACATTTTCTTCTAAATATCCATTTAGAAAAGCGGTCTTGACATCCATTTGCCATATCTCATAATCATAATAAGCGGCAATTGCTAGGATTATCCTAATGGACCTGATCATAACAACCGGTGAGAACGTTTCATCATAGTCAATACCATGAACTTGTCTAAATCCTTTGGCAACTAATCTTGCCTTGTAGACAGAAACATTTCCATCATTGTCTGTCTTGATCTTGAAGACCCATTTGCATCCAATGGGTTTTACCCTATCAGGCAAATCTATTAAGTCCCATACTTGATTCTCAGACATGGAGTCCATTTCGGATTTTATGGCTTCAAGCCATTTTTCGGAGTCGGGGTTCGCCATTGCTTGTTTATAGGTAGCAGGCTCATCATTCTCTAAAAGTAGAACGTCAATGCTAGCATTCAAGACGAAATCCTCATATCGTCTAGGTTGCCGCCTTGGCCTGTTTGATCTCCAAAGTGGTCCAACAGCTGGAGAGACTTTAGCAGGAGGATTGACCACATCAGTATGTGGGACCTCGGGTGCTTCATCTACCTGAGGAATTGCATCTTGAATATGGGTGGTTTCCCTTTGAGAAGGTACGCCTCCAAAATCAAGTTCCTCTGTGACATCTTCTATGTCCTCATGCTGTAGGGTTTGTTGCTCAAGTTGAATCTCATCAAGCTAAACATTTCTCCCACTTGACTTCTTGGAAAAGAAATCCTTTTCCAAAAAGACACTATCCCGAGCAACAAACACCTTGTTCTCAACGGGATTGTAGAAATAATAACCCCTCGTTTCCTTGGGGTAACCTATAAAGAAGCATTTGTCTGATTTGGGTGCGAGCTTATCAGATAGTAAACGCTTTACATAAGCCTCGCATCCCCAAACCTTCAGAAATGACAAGCTGGGAGGCTTCCCAAACCATATCTCATGTGGTGTCTTGTCAACTGATCGGGACGGAGTCCTGTTTAGTGTGAACGCAGCGGTAGTGAGGGCATAACCCCAAAAGGATGTAGGAAGATCAGCAAAACTCATCATTGAGCGGACCATGTCTAACAATGTCCTGTTTCTCCTCTCAGACACACCATTCAGTTGTGGTGTACCTGGTGGAGTCAGTTGTGTTAGAATACCACAACTCCTCAAATGATGGTCGAATTCTTGGCTCAGATATTCACCCCCTCGATCTGATCGAAGTGCCTTTATCTTCTTGCCTGTTTGTGTCTCAACTTCATGCTGAAATTCTTTGAACTTTTCAAAAGACTCAGATTTATGTTTCATTAGGTAGATATACCCGTATCTACTAAAATCATCAGTAAATGTAATGAAGTATCGATAGCCTCTCCTAGCTTCTATGCTCATAGGTCCACACACATCGGTATGTATGAGAGCTAAGAGCTCAGTAGTCCTTTCACTTGTACCTTTGAAAGGTGACCTTGTCATCTTACCCATTAGACATGATTCACATGTTTCAAATGATTCTAAATCAAATGACTTTAGGCTACCAACTGTTTGGAGTTCCTTCATGCGTTTAATGCTAATGTGGCCTAGGCGACAATGCCATAGATTGGCTTCACTTATGTCATTCGACTTTTGCCGTTTTGTATCAACGTTATAAACTTCAGATTTGAGATCCAATATGTATAATCCACTATTATTCATATGGGCTTGAGCATAAAAGATGTCATTCTTAAAAATAGAAAAACAATCCTTAATGACAAAATTATAACCCTCAAGGTTCAAAACTGAAATTGAAATCAAATTCTTAGTAATAGAAGGAACAAAATAACAATTATAAAGTTCTAAAACCAAGCCAGAAGGTAGCGGTAGACTATAATCTCCAATGGCAAGTGCAGCAACTCTTGCTCCATTTCCAACGCGAAGATCTATCTCACCCTTCTGCAACCGTCTCC